GCTAACTTGCCTTTGCATTTTCTTTCCCCTTGATACCAATGCAGTATGAAAATAATGGTAGTAATTCTTACTACTCATGATGGAGTATTTTTGCATAATTCCAATAGGGAATTTTGTCTGCTTACAGTAGAGAATTGGAAACATATTTCATTATGTGGCTATAATTGGAATACTTCCAGGAAGTTGAATTTGATCTGAATCAAGAAGAGGAGAACCAGTTATTTTGTTTGTAAGATTCCAAAGACCTCCAAAGCTGAGGAAGCTTGCCTTAATTGGCAGCACTGGACAAACCAGAAAAAGAAAAGTTCTGCTAACCTTGAAAGGAGGAAATCTCAGGTGAATTCTGGTGAGTCCAACCTTGTTCCTGAAGCCTGCACATACTGGATGTCAAGAGTTTGTCACAGGGCAGATAGAGGGGCATCTCACCCCAAAACCTGCCTGCTCTAAATAGGTAGTTGTTTGTTATGGCTACTACTTCCAGATTCTCTCTATTTTTTTTTGGCATGTACTGATAGACTTTTCCAGTAATAGTACTGTCATACCAGGCATTCATGGATCTGCTGACTAATCAGGTTGCTTCTCTTACATACACTGGAATCCTAAAAAGACTATTTCCTAAGGCTGTACCCTGATATTTGTGCCACCATAGATATGGTGGAATAAAAATTAAAAAGAGGGTATTTAACAGAATTTTACTTTTGCTTACACTGTAATTCCATTAGAAAACTTTTGGAGTAGGGATCTCCCTGGTGGCACAAAGGGTTAAGTCCCAGCACTATGAAGCTATCCACAGCTACTGCAGCATGAGTTTGCTCCCCAGTCAGGGAGGTGACCCACATGGCACAGCAAACCTCTTCTGTCTCACCTACTGCTCCCCTCAGCAGTGTATTTCAGTACATCTATTCTGCTCCCCATTTCATTTCTGGTGAATCCTCTCACCACCCACAGGTCTGGCCTACACCTCAGTTCTTGCATGCATAAATAATAAATCTTTTTTAAAAATAGGTTAAGTGGTCTGAAAGATGATTTAGTTTGCAAAATTTTGCTGTGCTGTTGGATAAAATTGGGGTCAAGATGGAGAAAACTTAGATAAGTTGAACTAGTTTTAAGATTTTCTTCCTGTGATTTTGACATATTTACTGTTTTGTTTTGGCTAATGCCTCCAGATTGGGATGTTTTGTTTTTTTTTGTTTTGTTTTGTTTTTTCTTTTTGACATGGTCTGATAAATTATTTTCCAGAAATGGAGGACTTTTTTTTTTTTTTTTTTGCCACACTGGATAATACCTGGAGGCTGACTGTAGTTTTCCTTTCAAATTGGAGCACAGAAAATTTAACATCTGAGGCTTCACCCCCACATCCACACATTTGATCTTCATCACATAAATATAGTGACAAAAAAATAAAAAGGAGGAATTGTTGGGAAGAAAAGGATGCCCTGGGCAAACTCCACAAACACTGGTTTTATAGACTCCACCCCCACTTCAAACCAAAAAGATCCAAGAACTACAAATCCCATAACATCATCTTCATCAAAGGGAGGATTGTTGGGAACTAAGGGTGGAGTTAAGCAGTCAGGTTTGGTGTATATGGATTGGGTTGCCTGTCTGTGGGTCCTCACTTGTGCACTTAAGATTCAACTGTACTGCAGACACACAAAAGGGTCAATAATGGGTTTATTTACAAGGGGAAAAGAAAAGGAACAACCCAAGGAAAGAGAGAGAGAAAAGAGAGAGAGAGATACAAGCTAATTAGAGCATCCTACCACTACTTGGAACCCCAGTAGCACACTGAAAGCTGATCAAGAGCCAAGCAACCAACTGCCAGAAATGAGGCCAAGGGAGAGAGAGAGAGCCAGCCCAACATGTCCACCTTTTTTATAGCCAAGTCCCAAAATGGCTGCTTAACTCTGCCCTTTGGTCCTCACAGTCCTCCCTTTGGTGTTGCTGGGAAATGTAGTTTTGGTGTCTGGAGTAGAGAGTGGAGTCCACAAAACCTGTATTTGTAGAGTTTGTTCAGGACATCCTTTCCCTGTAACATAACTAGACATGTGAGTCCAGGGGGCCTCTTGGGTTTTGGCTTTTTGTCAGCTCTCCAAGTGTTATTGGGATTCCAGCTCAGTGGAACTGGTGGTGTAATGACAATTTCCCAGAGAAATCAGATGGCACTCAGAGAGGTGAAGAGAGAGAAATTTAATTGTTGCACTAGAGGGCTCAGTGGGTCCCAAAAGGCTGAATCTCAAATTACAGGAGTAATAAGGTTTTATACAGGTTGTATGAAGAATCTTGTCATCCCATCCATCATAGCATAAGCGTTCTTTATTGTTTGAGAAGGGGGTCAAGGTAGCCATAGCTACTACAGTGGGCAAGCAAGCAGCAGAATCCAAGCAACATACTTCCCCAAGCAGAAGGCCTGGGAAAGTAGCATAATCTAAGCAGCAGAATTGGGAGATTTTCTGCTTCATTGGGATGAAATCATGAATTTATCTCCTTCTCTTCCTCCCTGAGTTAATCATGTCTTTATTTCCCCTTCTTTTGTACATAAAACCTTTATTAACCTTTTTGTGTGTGCCTGCAGTTGAGTCTTATTATATAAGTCCCTTTAAGAATGGTGATAACAAGTCAGGCAATCCATTTCTTATTGGAGTTGCCCTGTAACAGTATTACGGAGGACTTCTAAGGAACAATAAAACTATTCTGCAGTCCAATTATGATGTTCAAAGAATTGTCTGCCAATCGAAAAGTTAAGTTTACTGAATGCTCACTGAAAAAATTAAATGGTGGAAAGAATATAATTTTCAAAAACATCAATCTTTTAACTTTTTTGAGATATATTTGACATATAACGTATCACTTTCAAACATGACATAATGATTCAATATTTGTATATAATGAAAAATAATCATGCTAAATGCAGTTAATATTGTTCAACACATTTACAAAAAGAATTTTTTTCTTGTGATGAGAACTTTTAATATCTACTAGCAACTGTCCAATATACAATATAATATTATTAACTACAGTTGTATGCTGTGCAGTGCATCCTCATGCCTTATCTATTTTTAACTGGAAGTCTGTAACTTTTAATAGTCTTCACGCATATCCTCCATATACAATTCTACTCCACCCCTCTGCATGTGGCAATCATCAATCATATGTTGTTCAGCATGAGTTCCTTTAGTTTGTTGTGGGTTTTTTTTTCTTTTTTGACTCAATTAAAAATGTCCAAAAGCTGTCCAAAATGTCAATTCTATAAAAGGTAAAGAAAGGCTATGAAATGTTCTAAATTAAAGGAGCCCAGAAAACATGAAAATTCGGTGAAATAACCTGATTTTAGTCTGGATTCCATAAGGAAGAAGGAAAATGCTATAAAGTCCTTTATTTTAATAGATAAAGCAAATATCCCTGCATTTTTGTCCTAAGTTTACTTAAAACATGGGGAAACTGACTATCTTAAATTTTGTTGATCATTTTCTACGCCAATTAATCAACATATATAATTCAGTATATATGGAAAGTCTGCTACATCCAAGACAATGAAGTCCATGGCAATACACCAACAGAGTCCTCTTTCCTATAAAGGCTATTCAAAGTCTACTCAAAGATAGTTTTCTAAAACTATCTGCTAAACTATTTAGTCATTCTTCTTCAAGAATGCGTGTTGCCACAGAAACATAAAAAATGTTAGTAGCTTTCAGGAATTAGTGATAGTTTTCTATATGTTTTGAGTTACTTTTCTAATTCTGAAGTCACTCACACACTTAAGTGTCCAGATTTATGGCATTTTCTCAAGCCAGCTCATTACAGAGAGATGATGTGTTTTTGTTATTTCCAATTGGCAAAACTGTCCTCTCAAGACATGTGTCACACCATTACAAGGAACAGCGAATTCCAATCTAACTCCCTAATTAAAGGGAATTTATTGACTCATCTATCAAAAATTGACCAGGAATCCAGGTTCATTCTTCTGTGACTGTTTCGGTTTATTTTCTGGCATACCAGCCAACAGCAAACAGGACTGTGCTTCTTCAGTCACATTCAAAGGAGAAAAGTATCACTACCATTAAATGGAAGTCCAAAACTTCACTGCCTATACAGATTTTAGCACTAATACTAGGAGCTACGTATTACGGAAAAGAAAAACAGACGTCCCCTTATTTAATGGACATGTGTTGTAACCATTAAGGAAGGTAAGAGTTATAAAAAACTATTTCAGGAAACAGGAAGGCTTCCAGGGCATCAATAAGGATACAACAGGAACTTTGGTAACACTACAAGTCAAATGGTTGTGCCCTGAGAAGTGAGGTCCCCCTACTCTCTTCTCATCTGATGTCTCTTCCAGTGTGTTTCCCACCTCCCTGACTGCCCTTCCGTGTTGCATCCGACATCAGCATCCTCACACAGCCCTTCTCAGGCAGCACTCTCCTGGGAACACTCACAGGGATTCCTCTAGAGCAAAAAAAAAAACAAAAACAAAAAAACGCCTCCTGCGGTGAAGACCATTAGCCTCAGCTTGGTCATACCATGCAAGACCACACTAGATCACGTCAGATGTCCACCCCCTGGAAAGCAGCATCTGTCAGGCAATCAGAGGCTTCCCATAGGGAGTAAGATGACTGGAAGGCCCCACGGAGTGTGCCTGTGACCCAACAAAATTTTCATCACTATTATAAGGTCTAACAGATAGAGAAAACGAGGCCCTGAAGGGTCGCCTGCCCATTTCACAGCTAACATATGGCGGCAGGACTCAAACCTATTGGCGTTCGTGACCCCAACAGCAAAGCTTGGTGAGCTTAGGAGCACCCAGCCTCCCACGCTTAGGGAACCCAGCCCTCTACCCACAGAGGCAGAAACCGGAGGTGGGGAGCGCCGGGAGCCACCACCCGGATGCGGAAGCGGAACGCTGCGGCGCCGTAGTCATGGAGACGCGAGAGTGGGCGGGCAGGCTGAACGCGTGACCTTTAACCCGCTGCCGAGGACGTCAGAGGCGCCGCCGACGGAAGTGCGGCGGCCGGGCGGTGGGCTTGCGGGGCTGCTGCTGGCGGCCGCGGGCTATGGAGGTAAAGCTGCTGGGCCGGGCTGGGCTGGGGCTGGGGCTGGGGTCGGGGCCGGGGTTGCGGCCGGACCTGGGCCGAGAGTGCTCTGCGGTCAGGCGCCGCAGTTCGGGTCGCGGGGAGCACTACTTGCTGCTGTGCAAGCTCTGTAGCCCCGCGTAGCCTGGGTTTGCCTCACCTACCTCAGATTCCAGCCCTTACCTGGTCCTTCTGTCATTTGCCGCAGCCACAGACGCCTGTCTCTTTAGTTCTCCTCACTTTAAGGGTCTCCTCCACTTGATCCCCGGAAAGGTTTCTACCTAGACAAGTTTCGTGTCTGGGACTAGGAACATATTCTGAGCACTGAGTTTGATTTTGTCTTGCAGGATCCTGTTCAAGATGGGGTGGCTTCTCCAGCACCCCCTGGGGCCGGGAAATCTAAGGTGAAGAGAGTCCTGACAGCGGCTTCCTGACGAGTGGAAGGATGATGAATTGGAAAACTTTGACATGAGGAGAGGGGTGACCTATTTAAAAGTAGTAGTCCTTCTCCAAGGAACTTCGGTCACCCTATTTCCTTGTGTTCTTTCTTTTAAAGTTTCCTGGTATAGGATGCATTGTTTACTTCCTGCCCCTGGTTAGCAGGGCTAAAGGATTCAGCAATTTTTCAAGCATCCAGCAAAACATTCTTATTTATGTGAATTATGTGGTGACAAAGTGACGGTACAGATAGAAAGACGTCAAGGGGACTTTGTTCTTTCAGTGGGCTCCTTCTATGATGTGAAAAGAGTTAAGTAATTTTATGGGCCTGTGCTTGTTCAGCCGCCAGTGATTTTAACAAATAGTGGTTTATTATTGAGGTTCACAGCTTGCATGCTAAGTTTCAGACATGTGCCTCCCTAAACAGTCACGTACTTGATTTAAGCTCATAAATTAGGTACTGTTATTACCCCTATCTTACAGTTGAGAAAACTGAGCGTAATTCACCCTGGTTTTTCATTTAAAGCCTGAATGTAACCCTACTCATCTTCCTCTAATTTTTACATTTTCTTCTTTTAATCTTTAATAGATTAAAATTAATTTATAGTGCTAGAGAACTTTAAGTAGAACTAGTTCAGTCTAATCTTGCAGTTAAAGAAATCAACATCTAGAAAGTGCTTTAATCTTTGACAATATCTGTAAGAGAATATGTGCTGTATTTAAAATTTTTAAAACAGTTGCTTAACTAATTTTTTTGTTGACGTCTCATTTGTCAATTTTTAAAAATGTTCTGTTTGGTTGACAAAGATTTATTGAGTAGAAGTTCTTATTTTCAGGCAGGCATTTTCTTTCTTTTTTTTTTTTTTTGTTAAAACAAATCGGTAATATCTATGTCTTGCAGCTGGAAACACTGCCCAAGGAAGATCTCATCAAGTTTGCCAAGAAACAGATGATGCTAATACAGAAAACAAAATCAAGATGTTCAGGTATTGAGTTGAAAATACTCATCTAAATCACAATCTCATTTCTTTTTTAAGAAGAGTAACTTTATTTTTTAAGATTTATTTATGTATACAAGAACTGGGGTGTAGGCCAGAGATGTGAGGGACTAAGAGGATTCAGCAGAGACAGTGGAAAGCAGACCAGCCAAATTACTGAAATACCCTGCTGAGAGGAGCAGCTGGAGTGATAGGAGAGGTCCACTGTGCTATGTGGGTCAGCTCCCTGGAGTTGAACTCATGCTGCAGTGGCTGCAGATAACTTCATAGTGCTGACTTTAACCGCTGTGCCACATGGAGGCCACCAATCACAATCTTATTTAGTCCTGGTTCAAATCTTTAGTTTTGGCTTTTCATTTTTTGGTAGTACATTGACTTGTTTATTTACCAGTGACTCCAATAAAATCTTGGATAGTGTAGTGAAATGTTTTTCGCATTTAGCATTTTATAACAAGTTGTTATTATTGCCTCAGATTTCTTTTTTTAAAGATTTTTTTATGTATGCACTCAGGAGCTGGCCAGAGATGGGGGTGGTGTTGGTGGGAGGATTTACCAGAAACAGAATGGGGAACAGAACAGGCAGATTGACTGAAAGACACTGCAGCAGGGAGCAGTGGGAAAAACAGGAGAGGTCTGCTGTGATATGTGGGTCACCTCTGGTGGGGATCAAACACATGCTGCAGTGGCTGAGGGCAGCTTCTTAGCCCTGTGCTTTAACCTTTTGCACCACCAGGGAGAGCCCTCATCTTACATTTCTAAACTTCAGTTAGCTTTGAATTATTAAAATAATATTCAGATTAAAAAAAACAATTTGTTAACCATTGTCATTCTTCAATGGATTGATTATTACTCAGAGTAAATAATGTTTTCTGGGGTAATCAGTTGAAATGTTAGAGATAAGGTTGTGGTCCCAAAGAAAGTAAAAAGAGGCTTCAAGTAAAGTAGTAAAAGATTTGCATTCCTGGAATTTTAAAGTATGTTTACTTGCTGAAGTTGATTGATTCATTTCCCCTTTTTTATACTTCAAAAAGATAAAGATATCAGTGTTCTTTTTTAGTATGTGCGGTGAGCTTTTGCATTTCCAGTGACTTGACAGATGTTAATTACCCAGCCTAAAAGCCTACTAGAAAAGAACAAATTGTGGTTTGGGATGTTGAATGGTATGGTAGACAGAGTAATTTGGAAAGGTATTTCAGCTCCAGACCTTATCTGAGTAGACAAAACAAATTGATGTTTTGGCTTACTATAAGATTAGTTGTTACTTTAAGATCACAGAGTAAGAAGCATTTGGAGCTGAAATAATAGTATCTGAGATCTGCTTCAAAATATATCAATATGAGTAAGAAAAGATGGAAAGGAGAAAATAAAAAAAGGTTCTGATGAGGGAAGAGTAACTATGTAATTGCTATATCAAGATAGCTATGTAGAGAAAGTCACACTGTTCTGCTTTTTATTTGTTTGAAGTTGTCTATAATAAAAAGGGAAATAAAAGATAATTCTGGGTGAAGTTGATCTCAAAATACAGCTTCTGAAATGTATTTTACAGTGTTTTTATACAAATGTGCTTAAAACTTCGGCCAAAATTTTCTTCATTTCTGAATTAGAATTTTTTAGATTTTTTTTTTTTCTCTTTTAAAGAATTGGAGAAAGAAATTGAAGAATTCAAATCAAAACCTGTTGCTGGAGGAAATGATGATATTATTAAGGTAATGAAACAGTTGTGAATATTCTTTTAATTTTTATTTATTAAGGCAAATTTCTTTGAGACTCTTTTAGGCTGTTTAGAGGTGTCTTTCCATCTCATGTTACCACTTCTTCATTGGCCTTGAGTAAGTTTTTCACCTCTGTATTTGAGTGTAAAAAGAGAGGATTAAGTGACTTCTCAGTCCCTTTCTATTCTGACATGAATACTTTATCTTCTTATTATCCCACATACTCTAATTATGGAATTGTTGCCTCAATCCCAATCATGTGCTTCCCTCTCCCATTCAAAAATCCATCCCATCAAGACTTAAATTTTAGGGCTGATCATCTTTAGATAATATGTAAGAGAGTAGATTATAGTAGATAAAATGACTGCTGACCCAGATAACACAGTTGTGTTTCTAGCTTTTAGGGAATAAAATCTTAATCCATTTGTTTTCTTCTCTTCATACTCAGAGTGACTTCATCCCTGTCCCTGGACAACTAGTAGCAATACTTTTTCAGGTCTTTTTACTTTAAAGACTCTTCAGCTTTCCAGTTTGCTTTCTCTTCAATTTGTGTCAATCACCAGCGATTTATTGTTCCTGTAATACAATGCTGTAGTTTATCCACATTTTTCCATTTCCATGACTATGTCAACTACTTCATACCTTTTTGACTTACTTTGATAACACCTTTGCTAGACTTTCTCTTTTTAGTGCTACTGCATATTCCTACCAAGTTATACATTGCTGTTTTCATCTTATACCATATTTCAAAACTGGAATTGTTTATTGTTACTTATGCCCTCAATGGTGTTTTTTCCTTCCTCCACTTGGCCTAACCCTTTTTTTTTTTTTTTTTCAGTTGAAGTAATATTGTTTACAACACTATATGATTCAGAGGTATAGGATCACACCTCCTTAAATGTATGTAACCACACCCCACCTATCAAGATTTGGTCCTTAACCAAATCCATTCAACCCCCTTCAAACCCAGTTTTTCCCCATCCTTTTGCCCCTCTTATAGCGTCAGTTCTATAGTCAAGCTCATAGGGTTTGTTTTGGTTTTGTTGTTTCTGACTCTTTGCTTCTCTGTATTCCATATTGAAACTATCTAGTGGTTGTCTTTCTTATTTTAAGTTATTTCACTTAACATCTCCTTCAGGCCTAACCTTCTTCAATATTTCTTTAGCTTCTCAAACCTCTGCTATAATTCTTTTCTTGCATATTATGCCCATTTGTAATTTGAATCTTGCTATTCTTTGTATATTATCTTACTTTCTCATTAGGTGACTCCCAACTTGTGAGCACTACACAACTGAGGAGCTCACCTAACAATAATACATACTTTCTATGCGGTTGTTGTGAATTTTATGAGGTAATACAGTTATAGCACTTGGAACTGTTGTCTGTCACATAAGTGCTCAGTAATTATTCATTGTCATCATATATTTTTTAGGGGGGGATTTATGCCACAACACTGAAAGGTTTTTATATGTGAGGTTATTTTCTCACAGAGATTCTTCTTTGATTTTGTTTTAGATAACTCTTATTCCTTAAAATATCTAAATATTTGCCTCATATTTCCTGCTTATCACCTTTCCCTTATTCTCCTATACTGTCAAAAAAAACCCTACAGATGAAATTTTAAAAATTTCTTTATGCATCTTTACCTTTTAGGTTTTTAAGTTAATATTGAACTTTTCCTTACCACTCAAGCCTCAGAAAGTACAGGTTTGATAGAATTAAAGAGAATGAAATCTTGGGTTTCCAAAGATCTTCTCAGGCTAATGAGGAAATTATTTTGGGTAGTGATTAAAGATATATGAGTTAATTATTTAATCACTCTAAGTATCCTATAATATTTTAATAAAAATCAAATTTTGTACTACTGGAAAACTAAAAGTTTTATTTCTTCATTGTGAAAGACATGATTTTGAATACAGAATGTTCTGTTCTTTATATAATTTTAAGAGTTTATTACTTCTTACAGGTTTTAGTGAGATTCCTTGTCATATTCTAGCTCATTGCCATACATCTCAAGCTACTGCAAGACTAACATTTTTTAATTTAAAAAATTAAAAATAAAAGCCAAAATTTCCCATGTCAAAATTTGAGGTATATGGTATTACTATGAATATATGTGCTTCTTTGCAAGATGAAAATGAAAGGTGGATTTTATTATACTAGAATTTTTAGTACATATCTCTTGTTTTATTTTTGCTGGACTGAGATTTGACTCTCTTAAAAAGTAACAACTGTGTCTCTAATCTTTAAAGTTTTATATAGCTCTTCAGTTAATGGCTTATCTCTTAACATTAATAAACAAGGCTTTCCCAGTTATTTGCCAGTCATAAATTTACACTGCATTGCCCTATATAGCGTAAAAAATATATCATTTTAGCACTAAAATAGTTTAAGGTAGTATGGGCATATGACTTAGAGATAGAACTAACAGCTAAGTAGTTCAATACAACAAATAACTTATGGAAATTATATCTGTATTTCTAAATAAATATACTTGTTTTGTTATTTCTTGATTAATTCATTTTAGCTGTTAACCTGTTAGCTTCCTATGAGCAAATGAATAGCTATATTTCACAATGAATCCTGCTTTCCAAATGGTCAGACAGTTCAAATCTTTTATATTTTTTCCTGAATACTTGCCAGGAAATGCTGACCTAATTGCTTAAATTGTTCTCTACATCTGCTGTACAGTTTTCTGGGATATAGAAATGCCTTTTGCCTTTATCATGTGTATATATTACCTCCTTACCACATCCTCAAATTTGCTATGTCTTCACTCATTTTCTTGGTTAACCTCATTTTCGGAGCACATATCCTTCTGCAGCTTTCTAAGGATGGATTCATGAGAAGAAATTTTCATGTCTTATATTTTAAAATGACTGTATTTACTCTCATGCTTAAATAATAACTATAACTTGATTATAGCATTCTGAAATTTTTTTTTAGTTACTTATTCATACAAAATTAAGATACAGGCCAGAGGTTCAGGGTCAGTGAGAGGATTCACCAGAGACAGAGTGGGGAGCAGAACAGGGAAGTTGACAGTACACTGCTGAGGGGAGCAGCAGGGGATGTCTGCCAAGCCATGGGGGTCACCTTCCTGGCCCTGAGTCAAACTCGTGCTGAAGCAGTTTTGGCTACCTACGTAGTGCTGTGCTTTAACTTGTTGCGCCACCAGGAAGGGCCCAGCATTCTAAATTTTTCTACAGCTGTTTTATTTTCTTGAACAACAGTTTATTATTTCACAGAAGTTCAGATGTAGTGATAGCTAGTATGATTGTAAACTGATGTTTGAGATTTTAACATTTTAGGATTAACTTTATCTGAATTTATGGTAATATGAGGCTGAATTTTCTGTCTGTATAACTTGGGATCAAGTTATACCAATTTTGTAAAATAACTTAGATATTTATGCTTTTTTAAATTTATCTGGACAGGCTCATTTTTTTTTTTTTTAGATTTATTTATTTATGTATACAGAACCTGGGGTACAGGCCATAGGTGCAGGGGCTGTGAGAGAATTCACCAGAAACAGAGTGGGGAGCAGAACAGGCAGATTGACAAAGCAGCAGGTGAGACAGGCGAGGTCTGCTGAATCATGTGTGTAATCTCCCTGGCAGGGGATTGAACTCTTGGCAAAGTGGCTGCATCTACCTTCATAGTGCTGTGCTTTAAAACTCTTGCACCACCAGGGATGGCCCTGGACAGGCTCATTTTTAACTGGGATAATCTGTTCATTGAAAATTTGATACAAATCAGCTATAAAACTTCTATTTTCTTTGCGGAACAATTTTAGACCCCCCAAGCTTGATTCTTTTTTTTAATACTCCAAAAAAAACTTTTTTTTAGTTCATGTTTGTTTTCCTTACACCAAGTGTAAGTGAAAACATTCAGTGTTTGTTGCGCTCTGGCTTGTTTAAACTAAATAATAGCTTCTCTATTGCTGCAAATGACAGTATTTAATCTTTTTTCAATAGCTGAACTGTATTTTTTTGTGAGCATATCACTTCTTAGTCCATTTGTCAATTGATAGGCACTTAAGTAGTTCCCAGTTATTATAAAAAGGATATAAATATTTGCTGCAGTAAACAGAGACATGCATATCTGTTCAAATTAGTGGGCTTTGGGTAAACATCCAGAAGTGAGATCACTTGATCTTAGGAAATTCCTACTTAAAACAAAGGAGCTAAGAACATACAACAGAGTAAGAGGTATCTCTTCTATAAATAGTATTGGGAAAACTGGCATTGGGAGAATAGAGTGAACTATGCCGCTATCTCACATCAGCCACAATATTTTATTAAAAATAGCTTAATAACTTGGATGTAAGACCTGAAACCATAAAGTACATAGGAGAAAACAGGTGCTTATAGTCCATGACATGTTTGGGGACTCAGTTTATGACTGGAATAATATTGCTATTAAATATGCTTCAGTGGACATGTAAGTACATGTGTCCCTTTGAATTAGTGTTTCTGTGCTCTTATACAGAAGTTCAATATGGAACATCTATTTTTATGTTTCAGAATCCCATATACTTGGGGATTGCCACAGGGATTAGACCATTCTACATTGCCACTGATACTGTCAGAAAGCCTTTTTCACACCTTTGCTATCAAGGTCTCTTTCTGGTATCTTATTGTGCTTTTGATTTGTACTTCCCTTATAAGTGCTGATGAGCATTTTTCCATGTGTCTGTTTGCCATTTATATTGTCCTTCAAAAAGTGTCTGCTTAGCTCTTGGCCACTTTTTGACTGATTGGGTTTTTTATTGTTGAGTTAAGAATTCTTTGTAGATTTTATAGCTCCTTGCCAGATGTATGATGTACACATTTTAAACCATTTGGTAGGATGCTTTTTGTTTTAATGATAGTTTTTTAGCATTTTAGTTCGATACAGATCCACCTTATTACTTTGGCTTTGTTTCCCTGAGCACAGAAGTTGAGTCCCTCAAATATATCATTGAAACCGGCTTGGTGGGGTGTTTTACCGATTTCTTCTTACGATTCTATACATTTTATGGTTTTAGTTCTTAACAATCCAGTCTTTAATCTCTGATTGATTTCTAATCACTTTTTTTGAGCTGACGTTTATTTTTGTTATTCACATATGGGTCTCATGAAGACAGCAGAAAGTTACATTTTGTGTTCTTATCTAACCAAAAGCTCTGTCTTTTGTTTGGCAAGTTTAGTCCATATACACTTCAGATGATTAATCATATTTTGCTACTTTTCTTTAGTTTTCTGGCTCTACTTCTTTGTTCAAATTTTTGTGGATTATTTACTTTTTTAAAAAAATTTATTTATACATACAAGAGCTGGGGTACAGGCCAGAGGTACGGTGAGTAAGAGGATTCACCAGAAACAGAATGGGGAACAGAACAGGCAGATTGATTGAAATACATTGCTGAGGGGAGCAGCGGGCAAGGTGAGAGAGATCTGCTGCACCATGTGGGTCACCTCCCTGGCTGGGGATCAAACTCATGCTGCAGTGACTGCAGATAGCTTCATTGTTTTTCAACTTAACCCCTCAACACCACCAGGGAGGCTTCCTATTTTTTCTTTGATTTAGATAGAAAAGCTGCTTTTGGAATTTCTCATAGGACAGTCTAGTGTTTCCAAACCTCTTCAGCTTCTGTTTGTCACAGGAGGTTTTCATTTTTCTTCTAGTATCTAAAGGATTGTCTTTCAAATATATGGTGTTCTTGGCTAACAGTTTTTATCAAGTATTAAGTGTGTCATTCTATTCTTTCCTGGTTTGTAGGTTTTCTTAAGGAAGTCTGTTGAATGCCTGATGGAGCTACCTTTATAGATTATCTTTTTTATCTTCACACACTTGTATATTTAGTTCTTTCCCCATGTTTGGAAACTTCTGTTATTCTATTTTCTGTTATTTCTTTGAATTCATTCTGTTTCCTTCTCTTCCCTTTTGAATGCCCATTACTTTTACGTTGTCATTCCTAATGGAATCACATGAGCCTTGAATTGTTTCTTCAGTTTCCCCCCTTTCGTATTCCTTTTGTTATTGGGTACTTTGTAAATTACCATCTTCAAGAGCACTGATTTGATCTTTCCTTTATTCTGTTCCCATCACTTTCCCCAGAATTTTTTATCTTTTGATCTTTTTACATCTTGCATGTCTTGAGATAAGTAACATAAAATATTGTCTTTCATCTAAGCATTAAACTTTCAGAGACAAACCTAGTTTTCAGTCAGAAGCAGCATTTTCACCCAAAGCATTGTTTTGAGCCTTATGGGGCACAAGCATTTTAAATCAGAAAAAAGAATAATACAACAAAGTGAAAAATCTCCTTATTATACTTATTTTCTTGACACAAGAAACATAAAGGTGTATCAGTCATCTACTTTCATTAACTTCTCAGGTCTTTTATTTGTTTTTCTGACTTTTCTTCCAGTTCTTTGAATTTATCATGGCAATTTTGAACAGTATACCTGATAGGAAGATAATATCCATGTCTTTGTGATTAGATTTTGAAGTGTTGTCTTCTTGTGGTTGCACAGACTTTTGAGGTCTCTAGGTGCCCTGGGTTGTATTTTTCTGTTTGCCTATTTTGCTGCTGTAGCCTTCCCTATGTTCATTTGAGTATCTTCAGCACTAATTTAGAGACTTGTAGTACTTCTTCTTTACCAGCAGGTGGCACTGTGGAAGGTTTGGGTTTTTGTTGTTATTTGTTTATCTTTTTCAGCTTTATATGACTTATGTGTTTAGCTTTTCCAGGTGTCCATATGTTCATCATTCGGCATTCTGATCCTACACCTTCTAACTGTGGTTAAAAAATGTTGGGGAACTTGCTTGTATTTGTGGCATTGTCAGTATCCCTCCCTTCTGGGGTCCAGACCTAAATCCATATGTAGATGTTGTTCTTCACAAACTCTGTACAGGTCAGAAATAGTGAGGTAGGGAGAACACATCCAAGTTTACTGTTCTTGTTTTTTCATTGGGTCCTGGCTTACTAGCCTACCCTAGTTCCTCTACATATACCTCCTTTCAGTCCATTGTGTTTGTCTGCTCAGTGCTCAGTTCTCCCTTCTCTAGGTCTGCTGGCCAAGCAGTACTGTTTTGTATGACTGCCTCTTGCCCTGTGCCACAGCTGCCAGGCACCCACCTCTCTCTCGTTTAATGAAGCATGATTCTTCTCAGTGTTCCTTCTTTTGTGGTCCATGCTGGTCTCTGATGTCCAAGAGTTGTTCTGATTTTGCCCATGTCACAGATGTAGTAGACTAATATTTAGATTTTTCTCTCAGGATCAAGTCTGGGTACTAATGAAACCGTCTTGGTCCTGTCTCCTGAATTTAACTCCTTTAAGCCAAATGATCATTTAAAAAAGCATTGGCAAAAAGGACAGTTCTAATACCTTCCTCATTACTTCCAGCCTCATGAAACACACTGACAAGTGTGTAGACCTTAGAGCTGCCTAGGGTCTGAAACCCCAGAGAGGAGGGCTACTGGTACCACAGACACAGGCTAGCCATCTGCCCGCCAGAGCATTCACACCAGTGGGTGGATCCCTCCATGCTCTTTCCCTTCATCCCTACTTTGATTTGTAATTATAGTAGTAATTGTCCTTTGCTATTTTTCCTTGAATTAATTTATCTATTCTTTTCTGGACATTTTGATCCATTTCATATCATTTTTAAATGTCAGTGCTAAGTACTTGCATAATATTCTCTTTGTTTATTCTCTACCTTATATGTACCAAGATAATGTTTTATTTTGATTTATACTTTTGTTACCCCTGTCTTCTGTAATCCGTCTAGCTAGAGATTACCTATTTTGTCAGCTTTTATCAGAAAACTGACTTTTGGCTTGTTGGTTTTTCGATCCATTTGTTTTACTCCCACTTCTGTTTAATATCTGCAAAGAATAAACTTTTCTCATATTTATTTTTACAATCTAGCTATTCATTCAGATTGTTCATTAGTCCCCTATTTTTGAATCACACATATCCCTTAGCAATATCTGGCGTTTCCAATTCCTAAGTCATTTACAGAGAGTATTTTCAAGTTTCTTCTATATATTTCCCTGTACAGAACTTTGGTATATAGCTTTTTTCCTCTTACTCACTTTCAGCTTTTTGTTTTTTAGTGTGTTGAAATTGATCATATTTCATTGTCTTTTCCCCATTTCTCTCTGGTATTCCCAGTCTGGTATTCTCTCTTTAGCATCATTTGGAAAAAGTGAGGCTGTAACTATGCACATGGATTAGTTAATTAATCATTTTTAACTTTGAGCACACAAACCATCCTGTTCCAAAACAGGCACTGACTGAACGTATAGATGCTATTCTTCTGGAAAAAGCAGAGACTGAGCAACAGTGTCTTTCTCTGAAAAAGGAAAACATTAAGATAAAGCAAGAAGTTGAGGTAAAGCAACTTTTAAGTTTTTTTATTATTATTATTGACTTTTATAATCTAGTTATGTATTTTAAAGCTAAAACTTTAAAAAGCATCTGATCTGATTTTAGCAGATGACAAACAAGATGTCATGCTGTAGTTTACTTATTTATTTAATCTTTTTATTACTATAAACCCTTTTATAAAAGTGGGGGAAAACTTACTTATGAAAATATATATGCTTATTTAAGATGATTATTGATCCTCAAACTTACTCAAAATACCCTATCTGTTTACTTATAGGATATTCAGTTGCCTGTTGGTATTGGGTTAGTATTTCTCCAGAAAGTGTCTTAGTAATTTATTGAATAAATATTTATTACTACTTTGTGACTTAATACAACTTATAAAGCTTATTACCTTTTTTAAAAAAGAAAACTCACAGACTTTCAAGCTTTTAATTATTATTTTGAAAGGCATATTAGTAGTATGAATATTTTGTGAGATAGTCAAAACCTTAGCAGAATTCTTGGAATCTTAGTATCAGATTTTTCTAACTACAGTTCTGATCATTTCCTTTTTCTATCCAGTGAGTCTGTGGCTGATACTTTCCTGAGATAAGATAAAAATTTTATTTTTGTCTTAAATTTTTCTTTATGTCTTTTTTACAATAGGATTCTGTAACTAAGATAGAAGATTTGCACAAGGAGTTGGAACAATCACAGAGAAATTATGTGAAAGAAATAGAAGATTTGAAAAACGAAATAGTGGCAGTACATTTCAGACATAGTGAAGATAAAGCTAGTTTGCAAAAGGAATTAGAAGAAGCAACAAAAAGGGAATTAGAGCTTTCCAAACAACTTAAATTTCTTGGTGACTCTGAAGATAATGTTGAAAAACTACAAAAAGAGATTCAGGAAATTAGGCCAGCCTTTAAGGAGCAAATATTATGTATGCAAAAGCATTTTGATGCCACCATAAATGAAAAGGAGCAAGAAATTACTTATCTTCAAGAAGTCATTAAGGAAAATTCACAGCATTACCAAAAAGATATTAACAATTTACAAGAAGAACTTTTACAATTGAAAGCTACACACCAAGAAGAAGTAAAAGAATTGATGTGCCAAATTGAAGCAACTAAAGAACATGAAGTAGAAGTAAATAATGTAGACAAACTGAAGGAGAACTTAGTTAAACCATGTGAGACAAGTGAGAAAACATGTGAAAATGAATTAGAAAACTTAGGACAAGCCTCAGATATAAACCAAGAAAATCAGCAGCATTCTTTGCTCTTACAAGAAGATACTTTTGTAGAAGAAGTAGTAAATGAAAAAGTCAGACACTTAGAAGATACCTTAAAAGAGTTGGAATCTCAACATAGTATTTTAAAAGATGAGCTAACTTACATGAATAATCTTAAGTTAAAACTTGAAATTGATGCCCACAATATAAAGGACGAGTATTTTCATGAAAGGGAAGACTTGGAATTTAAAATTAATGAATTATTACTAGTTAAAGAAGAACAGAGCTGTGCAATCGAAAAATTAAAATCTGAGCTAGAGGAATCAAATAAACAATTATGCTATACAGTAGAACAACATAACAAAGAAGTACAAAGTCTTAAGGAAGCACATCAAAAAGAAATATCAGAACTAAATGAGGCATTTATGTCAGGTTCAGAGAAAGAAAAATTAGCATTAATGTTTGAAATACAAGGTCTTAAGGAGCAATGTGAAAGACTACAGCAAGAAAAACAAGAGGCTATTTTAAATTATGAGAGTTTACGAGAGGTCATGGAAATATTACAAGCAGAACTGGGGGAATCTGCTGGAAAAATAAGTCAAGAGTTTGAATCAATGAAACAACAGCAAGCATCTGATGTTAATGAACTTCAACAAAAGCTCAGAACTGCTTTTAATGAAAAAGATGCTCTTGTTGAAACTGTCAATCGTCTCCAGAGAGAAAATGAGAAGTTATTATCGCAACAAGAATTTGTACCAGAACTTGAAAATACCATAAAAGACCTTCAGGAAAAGAATGAAGTGTGTTTAGTTAGCCTCAGCCAGAGAGATACCATATTACAAGAACTTGAAGCCAAGATAAGTTCACTTACTGAAGAAAAGGATGGTTTCATAAGTAAAATTAAAAGCTCTCATGAAGAAATGGATAATCTCCATAAAATACATGAAAAGGAAGAAATATTGATTGTAGAACTTAAGGAGAAAATGGAACAAACCACCAAATATAACTGTGAACTAGAACAAAAGGTAGATGAATTAAAGGGGAGACTAGAAGAAACTTTAAAAGAAAAAGATCAAAATAACCAAAAGTTAGAAAAGCTAATGGACCAATTGAAAACTCTCTATGAAGACCAGGAATCATTGTCCTCTGAAATGAAATCTCTTTATGAGGAAAATAATAGACTAAATTCAGAAAAGAACCAAATGAGTAGGGATTTAGAAGTTCTATCACAAAAAGAAGATGGTGGGCTTAAGGAACAAATTTCTGAATTAGAAAAGAAACTTGAGTTAACCACTGAAGAGCGAAATAATTTAAGTAAATTACTTGAAAATGAACAAGTTCAGAAATTATTTGTCAAAACTCATTTGTATGGCTTTCTTAAACAAATGGAGTCAAAGGTTTCAGAAGAAAATGAAGAACAAAATGTTGCAGATATCATACAAGCTGTAGGTGAATCTCTAGCTAAAATGCAAGAAGAAAAACTCAATCTGACTGTACAATATGAGGAAAGGATACAAGAGTTAGAAAATGATGTAAGGTGCCTACAAGAAGAGAATGTAGTTCATTGTGAGGACCTTAGGTCTTTACTAAGAGACTGTGAGCAAGAAAAAATTCAGTTAAGGAAAGAATTAGAAGAAACCCTGTCAGAAAAAGCAGCTCTGCAGTCTGATCTTCTAGAAATGAAAAATACTAATGAAAAAACAAGACTTGAAAATAAGAATCTTTTAATTCAACTTGAAGAAATAACACAGCAATCATGTAGCAAGAATGAAATAAATAATGAAAATGAAAAATCTTTTAGAAAAGAATATGAGAACTTAAAGCAATTACTAGAACAAAAGGAATCTGAACTACAAGATATGAGAGCAGAGTTAATATCATTAAAGGTACTGTTAGTTTCATGAATTTAAAATTTTAATTCTAGTCATAGTTTCAAAAATATATACATTAACATTTTTGCATATTGAAATAAAAACTAATTTTTAGCATATAATCTCAAATGCAAATTACTAAAGATTAGACTAAATAGTTATATATCCTGTTTATCACAATAATCATTTGATTTTAGATCATTTTAGAATCTTACATTTTTAGGGGTTAAATTTTCAGGAGTTAAATGTGTTCACCAAAATTATATAACTAGTCACCAACTAAACATGAAACATTTTGAATTTCATTCTTGTGTGAGATACCTACCACCTTTTTAAAAGAACATTGAGCAAAAAAAAAAAAAAAAGGCTATGGAAGTATTTAATCCACTACTTTAGAATTTTCTATAAAAATGAATATAATTAAACAGTATTTTCCCTATTTGATATGTTGTTCATTTTGGCCTTGGATATTACTTTTTTTTAAGATTTATTTATTTATTCATACAGAACTGGGGTACAGGCCAGAGTTGTGGAGGGTGAGAGGATTCACCAGAGATGGAGTGGGGAGCAAAACAGGCAGATCTACGAAGTACACTGCTGAGGGGAGCAGCAGGCTGGTCAGGAGAGGTCTGCCACGCCATGTGGTCACCTCCGGGGCAGGCGGGAATCGAACTCATGCGCAAGTGACTTAAGCTGCTTAGTGCAGTGCTTTAACCTGCTGCGCCACCAGGGAGGGCCCTTGGATATTACTTTTTTATGATAAATTCTATGTGCATGATAAAGGGCAGTATTACCTGCTCTAGTGTGGGTGTAAAGGGGAAAGACTTCACCAAAGTGTTTTTTGTATGATGCTCTTTGAGAATTTTCTTGTGCTTAAGATGATGTGTTCAAGGGAAGTGAAGTGATTCTGTTTTTGTTTTTTCTGTGAAATCTAGGAGTCCATAGAGAAGTCAACTGTAGAAAATGATCAGCCTTCTTCAGTAAAAGAGCTGGAAGAAAAAATAGGTAGCTATGATTTTGCATATGTTGTCACAATTACACAGGTTCTTTTTAGTTTTAGAATATATTGGAAAATATAGTAACTAAATATTGAGTTGAAAAAAATTAGGGGTCTTCCTAATGACTCCTTTCTTGCCCCTCTCAAAACTCATTTTCTGTTGTTTTATCCAGGCAGCGATACAATCCATTTATAAATGGCTCCATGATAGTTTTTGGATTTTTACTTACTTTAGCAAACTTTATTGGAATGCTCTGATATCTGGCACTAGTAATGAAAGATGATTAAGATACCGGCTAGGTCTTCCAAGATCACTGTCAGAAGTAATGTTATTGCAGTAGTTCAAGAGTGGACAACAATACACATTGTAGACAGTCCAGGAAGACATGACTACCTTGTTTTGAAAAACATCAGAAAGAAAGATAGGCTCTTTCTTTGCATCTTAAAGAGTATTTTAACACAAAAGGTATTCCAGCAGTAGGGAACATCAAGAGCTTGTATGTTAATATGTGACATCAAGAAGCATACTAGGAAGGCCCTGGAAAGGCAAGGCGCCAGTCATTAAAGCTTTTGTATGACATACAGAAGAGTTGGGATTTTATTTTTTGTTTATTCCTCATAGAAACATAATGGAGTCACTGTTACTCTCATTTAAAAATGAAACAAATACTTACAGGTGTTAAGTAATGTGTCCATAATCCCTCAATTTAATTGCCAGACTGATAGAAGACAGGTGGAGAAGGAGTATTGCACTTTCCTTATCAGGAACCAAGCCTGAGCTGAAAAACTCCAATTCCTTTTCAGGTTTCCCTTGCTTATATGTCTGCTACCACACTGTATTACTTTTCTTTTCCATAGGGCTCCTGGTTTAGCCTACCTATCTCTGTCCCCACTTTAACTACACCTTTAGGCATTTTTCTCCACCTGTCATCTCTTCAGTGAAGGATAACTTTTCTCTGTCTTCTCTGTTTAGTGTGTTTTGGTCTGATGTTCATGGAGTGTTGTGGTTTCACTCGAGCCATAGAACTCTCTTTATATAGGCTCCCTCAGTAGTAAAGCAACGAGCCAGGGAATCTCTATAGCCATCTTAGTAATGTCTCTCTATAAGTCTTCCATTTTATATTTTAAGGATATCTGGAAAAGGAATCTAAGGAGAAAGAAGAGAAGATAAATAAGATAAAGCTGGTTGCAGTAAAGGCAAAGAAAGAACTAGATTCTAGCAGAAAAGAGGTAAGGTGACTTAAAAATTATGATTCAAGGAACTTACATTTTAGAAAACCAGGGACTATTTCTGTCTATTAAAAATGCTTTGTTGTATATTTTAAAAAGTCCCAGACTCTACGGGAAGAACTTGAATCTGTACGATCAGAAAAAGATCAGTTGGTTATTTCCATGAGAGATCTCATTCAAGGAGCAGAAACCTATAAGGTAAGAATAGTTATTTTAATAACAAATTATATCTAACTTCTGAGTGAAAAAATATATGTATAAAAAAATAAAAAGCTTCTATAACAGTCACCTTATGTTTCTTAGTAAATCTATCTTTAAATTAATGTGGTCTTCCTTTTATCAACTTTTTATGTATTTCAGCTTAAATATGCTTTCAAGCTATTAATTTTTAAGATTTTAATTCTTATTTTCTGATGAAATTGATGATCAAAAAATGATTAATTACTATATTTAATATTCTGGTTAAGTGAAAAACATAGCTAACAAGAATGTGAAGATTTCCTTTGGCTAGCACTAAGAATCTACTATAAAAACTACAAGAGTTAAGAGAATACAACAAACTTTATGAATGCAAGGTAAAAATTATAACTTTTCTTTACATATTCATTCAGCAAATATTTGTACCATTACATTGAGTATTAGCAGTTACTGGAAAGATTATCAACCACATAGACTAAGTTTCTGTCTTCATAATATTTAAATTCTTACGGCAATCAGAGAAGTGTATGAACAATAATCAATTGGCATGTGATGGCACAAAGAAATTCCTACAGTGGCTAAAAAATTTTAGGAAAAGCTTTCATAAGAAAATTAAGAAAACTGTGTACAGTAACTAAATATTTTAAATACTAGTCTTTGATTTGGTCTATATGTTCTAAAATCATTTCACTAAAAATTGTAGGTAATTTTGTGTGGGATGGTCTGACGCTTATAAGCTGGTAAATATAGCTAATATTTTCAAAGTAAAAAGAGAAAAGTGACATCTTCTAGCAGACATCCAAGTAAAAGCTTGTTAAAAAAAACTACAATAATACGGTATTGATCTGATGCAAAAATAAGACATAGGAATTAATAAAACTCATAGTTTTGCATAATAAAGTTATAGGGTAGGTAGGCTCTCTTCCAAGTACTTCATATATCTTTTCAAATTAAATTCTCACACAGTCCCAAAAAGTATATTACTTAACATTTCCAATCTACGAATGGAAAGTCTGAGGTTGAGGGACTTATGATCACATAAAAAATTATACATTATAGCCAGTATTAGATTCAGACAGTCTGATTCCAGATCTATTTTTTCATCAACTAGACTATACATTTAAACTGTTTGAAAGAGACCTTACCAAACCCCTCTCAGACCAGCAAAGGCCTTACAACCTTCTGCAAGACCCCACCAGTGCTTCACCAGATCTGTGAGGTCCTGCACCTGTATCGGAAAGGGTGCTAGAGCATCCAGATACCTCAAGACCTTCCACAATAACTCTCTTAACCTTGCCTATGTCAGCAGTGGCTCAGTGACCTTTCTCAAGACCCTGTGCATGCTCAAATGCACTAGCAGAGGATTTGGAACTTTTTGTGAAACCCCAACAGTGACCACCCAGACTGTGGAGACTCTGTAGTTAGGTTGTAAAGGGTGCCAGATTTTGGGAGACACCACTAGCCCCTACCCAGAAGAGTAGAGCATGTGTAACCTGGCGTAAGACCCAGACAACACCATCCTGGACCAGCAGATACCTCATAATCTGCTGGACCCCGCCTGGACCCACAGAGCCTTTTTACTTCCCACAAGATCACCACTAGTTACCACACAGTCTGATGACACCTTGGGCCCATGTCATAGAAGGAGCCAGAGGGGCCAGAAGCCTTCTTAGCCCACTTGAGATCCCCCACCAGCTCCCCCACATAGGTGAGACCCCTGGCAAGAGTAGAAGAGCTACACCCAGAGGAAAGCCCACCTAACAGCAACAAGGTTCCAAAGCCAATAATGGTCAGAAGGAAAAGCTCAACAAAAAAACAGTATGACTCCTTCAAGGGAATAGTACAACATACAGAGAGAGAAAATCTCCAAGAACCCCAAGTCATAGACATGGAATCTGTGTTCTTCCTATCAGATTCAGAGTTTAGTATGGCAATGATAAATTCAAGGAAATGGAAGAAAACTCAGGCAAATGTATGTCCTTAGAAATAAAATCAAGGAACTGGAATCAGAAATGAAGTTCCAAATAAGATAAAAGTGAAGTTTCAGGATGTAAGAAGAAAAATACAGGAGGTAAAAATTCAGGAGAAAGTCACAGAATAGATGAAATGGATAAACAAGTCAGCATAATTAAAGATGCAAGTATATAAACAACCTAGGTGGAGAAGGAAACAGAACTGAAATTAAAAAATTAAAGAGGTGGGCCCTCCATGGTGGCGCAGCAGGTTAAATCACAGCACTAAGAAGCTAAAGCCACTTCAGCATGAGTTCAGTCCCCACCCTGGAGGTGATCAACATGGCGCAACAGACCTTTCCTGACTCGCCCACTGCTCCCTTCAGCCGTGTACTTCGTCGATCTGCCTGTTCTGCTCCCCACTGTCTCTGGTGAATCCTCTCACCATTCCTGTACTTCTGGCCTGTACCCCAGTTCTGTATGCATAAAAAATCTTTTTAAAAAGTTAAAGAGGGCCCTCCTTAGGGATTACAGCACAGCATTATGAAGCTACTGCAGCCACTGCAGTATAAGTTCAGTCCCCATCCAGGGAGCCAACCCATATGGTGCAACAGACCTTTCCTGCTCTGCCCACTGCACCCCTCAGCAATATATTTCAGTATATCTGCTTCTTCTGCTCTCCACTCTGTCTCTGGTGAATCCTCTCACTCCCGTACCTCTGGCCTGTACCCCAGTTCTGTATACATAAATAAATATATCTTTAAAAAACAAAATAATAGAAATATCAGGATGAAGAAAGAAAGAACAGAAAATGTACTTAAATAATGGAGGAAAATTTCCCAAACCTAGAGAAGAGAATAAATGTACAAATAAATGTACAAATGTACAAATCTAGGAAGATAAAGAACCCCAGCATACCTAGCTAATAGGTCAACACCAAGATGTGTAGTAGTGGAATTACTATGAGTTCATGACCAAAAAAAATATTGAAGCTGGCGGGGGGGGAAAGTGGGTAACCTAAAATTAACCTCAGTTAGGCTAACATTAGATTTCTCTGAAGAAATACTACAAGTGAGAAGACAATGGAATGGCATTTTCCAAAAACTTAAGAGAAAAACTGCCAGCCAAGGATACTCATCCTGCAAACTCTCCTGAAGATATAGGAGAGAAATAGAGCCTTCCTGATGGCACAAAGGGTGAAGTCTGAGCACTATGAAGCTATCTGCAGCCACTGCAGCACAAGTTCACTCCCCAGCCAAAGAAGTGATCATGGCAAAGCAGACTTCCCCTGTCTCTCCCACTGCTCCCCTCAGCAGTGTGTCTCAGTCAGTCCACCTGTTCAACCCCCTCTGTCTCTCACCACCTCTGGCTAACATCTGAACTCTTGTTTGTGTTGTTGAAAGAAATAAAAGATAAAGAAATAGAAAAATATTCACTGCACATGGTTTGGAATAATCAGCATTATGAAAATGGCTATTCCACTCAAAGCAATGTACAGATTCAATGCTGTCCCCCAAGAAATCAACAACTGTAGTAAATACTACTGAAAAGACCCAAATAACTAAAACAGTATTACAAAAGACCCAAATAACTAAAACAGTATTACAAAGAAGAAAGAGAATGGAGATACAACATTTCCAGACTAGAAGTTACATTATAAACCCCTGGTAATTAAAGCAACTTGATTCTGGAAATTAAAGACACACACAGACCAGTGTATTGAAATTGAAAGTCCAAAAATAAACCCACTCATATTTGGAGCGTTAATCTATGACGAAAGAACTAAAAACATCTGCTGGAAGGATATACTCTTTATAGTGGTGTTGGGAAATCTGGACAACTGTATGGAAAAGAATGAAACTAGACCACAATGTCAAAATATAGACCAAAGTCAACAAAAAGTAAACCAGAGACCTGGATGTAAAATATTAAGCCAAATTATTAAGCCAATAATTAGCTTAATTATTATTAAGCTAAATTATGTAAAATATTTAGCGATAAATTACATAGAAGAAAACTCAAGCAAATAAACTTCAGTGATGCCTTTAGGGATTTGTCCCGAGCAGCAAGGAAAACAAGAGATAAGCAGATGGGACTTTGTTAAATTAAAAAGCTTCTGTACAGAGAAAGAAATCATAACTAGAACGAAAAGATACCATACTGAGTGGGAGAATATATTTGCAGAATATGCATTTGACAAAGGAATTACATCAGTTATACAAAGAATTCATAAAACTCTACAAAAACAAACAAAATAACCCAACTAAAACGTGGACAAAGAAAGCAATTCTAATAAAGTAAAAATGAAAATCAACAAACAGATATAAACCAGAGATATTCTACAGGATAGAGAGGGGAATAGGATCAAAACTGAGGCTGGAAGAGCACATGGGACTATGGTGATGGCACATGTGTGAATTAATAGTGGGAAGTCCACGGGGACTACATCCAATAGGAAAAAATGTACAAAATAATAATATAAAAACAAATACACACACACACCTATAATAAAATATTTCTTAAATGTTGGACAAAAGAACTAAAAGACACTTCTGAAGACAGGCAGAAGACACATGAAAGAATGTTCACTATCACTCAATAATTAGAGAAATGCAGATCAATGCGATACCATCTCAAACCTGTGAGAACACCCTTATCAAAAGATTAGGAAAAACAAGTGCTGGTGTGGATATGGAAAAAAGGAAACAGTCCTTCCTTTTTGCTGATGGGAATGCAAATTGGCCCAGCCCTATGGAAAGCAGTGGTGGTACCTCACAAAATTAAAAATCAATCTGCCTCATGACCCAGTAATTCCATTCCTAAGTTTCTATTCTAGAAATTCAACAGCACTAAATTAAAAGGAAACTTGCACTCCTATATATTTTTTCCTGGGACTATTTACTATACCTAAATTGTGGAAACAATTTAAGTCCTCCCCAAACAGATAAGCAGTATTACATGCTGAAATACTGCTCATCAGTCATAAACTATACACTCATGCCATTTATAGCAACATGGATGAAACGAAGTGATAATGCTAAGTGAAATAAGAGGGATAAATACCAGATGGTGTCACTAATAAATATGTTGTGATAATGCTAAATGAAAGAGATAAATACTAGATAGTGTCACTAATATGTGGAATATAAAGTAACCAAGGGTCAGACAAAGACAAGCTGAAAAACTAACCATTGATAGCTGATCACATAACTGAAGCACAAAAGTGTAGGCAGGGGAGTAAGAAGAAGGGATCAGGGAGGAGTAAAACCAAAGGAGCAGTTATATAGAACAAAGGCCAGTTTGGACATTTTGTTCTTAATTAAGGGGCCAGCTGAGAATACCAAAAGAAAAAATTCAGTTTTAGATTATTCAGAAAACTTGAACATTTTGCTATAGAATGAGAGACTTCTTTTGTAATGTCTTAATAGCTTTTTCCAGTAGAACCTCTGCCTTTTAGCAGGCCAGACCTGAAATTATTGTCCTGCTCAGAATTCTCTACATGGATTGAAAAGATTAACAGGTTATTTTTGGGCATTTGGATAAAAAAATAGGTGACTGGATCAAGATGTGGTATAGATACACAATGGAATATTACTCAGAAATCAAAAAAGACAAACTCATGCCATTCACAGCAACATGGATGGAGCATGAAGGGATTATGTTCAGTGGAAAAAGCCAGAAATAAAAAGAAAAATATTGATGGTTTCACTTATAGGAGGGATGTAGAGGAACCAAATAAGGGATGTGGGTTGGGGGGAAGTAACTATAATAAATATAGTATAAAAGTCAACAGAGAACTATAAATCAGAGACATTCTGCAGAGGAATGAGGGGAAAGGATGAAACTGTTTGGGAAAAGTATATAGGACTATGGAGATGGACACAATGGATTTGATGGTGGGAATTTCATGTGGAGAAAGCATACATTGTACAAAAATGAATGAAGAATGATGCAAAATATGTATAAAATAAAAAGATAAACAGGTTAAACTTTATTTTCTGTATTTAAGTTATGTTTACATTTCAGAATTTTATTTTTTGCTGATGACTACATATTTAACTTAACAATGCTCTATGTAAGTTTTCCCCTGTATTCTTTATACTTAAAATCTTCCTCTCTAATGGATTCTTCCTGATACTAAAAGTCATCTGAATTAGACATATTTTATAATGCAATGCCAATCAGTATTTCAAACATTGAATTTGGGTAAATGCTGTTAAGTTTCTAGTATGGACTCATAAAACTTAATGTTATTTCCAGATACAGTTTGACTTCTTGAATGTATAATAATATCCTGAAGTTAAATCTTTTTTGTTTTTCATTGAAGAATCTCTTATTAGAATATGATAAGCAATCAGAACAGTTGGATGTGGAAAAAGAACGTGCTAATAATTTTGAGCATTATATAGAAGACCTTACAATACAATTAAAGAATTCAACTACTCAGGTAACTTTAAATTGAGTAAATACAGGCATGAAAATTGTAATAAGTATCTTTCGATTTCAGTATTTTTTGCACAGAGAAACTAAAATGATGGTGTCAGATGGAATTTATCTTTCTTTTTCCCACTACTGGGAGAAAAATATGACAAAACAACTACTTAACCATCCTGATATATTTATTTATTGTTCTCATCTCAGTTCCTCTAGGATATTTATTTTTATTTCCTTTTTTTTTTTTTTGTCCTTTTCCTCCGCCAGTGTTCCTGTTGTCTTTAAGTGTTTACCAAATTAATATCAACAGTGAGACTGTGTAAACTTATTCTTGATTTTGCGTTGCCATCTCTGGAATTGATTTTGAAATATTTGCTTTTCATATATGCCAACATTCTTATTTTAATGTACCATTTTATTCTTACTCTTCTGTATATATTTTCTGTATGTTTACATGAAGTACTTATCATTCTAGTATGAAAAACTAAAATCTGATAATGAAGATCTCCTTGCTCGTATTGAGACACTACAGTCTAATGCCAAGTTACTAGAAGTACAGATTTTAGAAGTCCAGAGAGCCAAAGCAATGGCAGACAAAGAATTGGAATCTGAAAAACTTCAAAAAGAGCAGAAGATAAAGGTAAAATCGACTTGTGGGGTAAATTACCATTATGTCATGATGCTTTTCATCAAAATATTTAAGTGAAGAAAAGACTTGCTAATGATCATTCTTATGAATATAGCAGAATTCATTAACTCCTAATGTACATCTGCTATGAATTTAAGAATTTAAACTTTGATTGTGGGGCGTATATATTTTTATATTTTTTAAATAATGAAATTTTTTAAACTTTGCATTTTAATATATCAGATTTTTTTGTTAGCCCCTTACACATAATTTTTTTCAATGCAGTTCGCTGGAGTGGGTGTTTATTTTAATTTCAGGAGCATGCTCTTTCAGTAAGTGAATTTGAAGAACTTCAGCAACAACTTCAAAAGGAAAAGAAACAGCTTCAGAAAACCATGCAAGAATTAGAGCTTGTAAGGAAGGTAAAGTAAAATACCAGACTCAAAACTGATGTCAGTATCACATTGTTGTATTTCTGTAAGCATAAAAAAGAATTTTCCAATAAAAAGATTATTTGTGAAATCAAATAATCATTTATAAATAGCTTGTCTCGAAATTGAAAATGTAACATTACTCTGAGTGTCTATATATCCAGAAAGATGTAGACTCAAAAATTACTAGACTTTTCTTTCATATGATTGTTGTATAACAAGTAAAAATTTAATTAATGGCAGTGTTGAAATTTATATAACACTTCAGCTAATTTTTCTCTGCATTTTCAAAGATGAAACTACAAAGAAAGGTGCTGTAAGGCCTTAAAATATTAGTATTTTATAAGAGCCCATAAAAGTAGAAACTACCAATGTAATTCATGAAACTAAGAAGATTGCATTGTAATACTTTTATTTCATGAAGTTATAAACTAGTAAGTATATAATTTTTTGTTTCTTCATTATTGTATAAACTTCCTATATTACCGAAGAGCATAGTTAGAATGTTTGTACCTGTGGCACCATATAAGGAATTTTACAAATGAAATTAACTGATCCACTGTTATGTTTGTCTTTCATTTATAATATGTGCAGGATGCCCAACAAACCACCTTGATGAATATGGAAATAGCTGATTATGAACGTTTGGTGAAAGAACTAAATCAAAAATTAACTAATAAAAACAGTAAAATAGAAGATTTGGAACAAGAAATAAAAATTCAAAAACAGAAACAGGAAACCCTACAAGAAGAAATGAGTGAGTAAAACAGAATTCCCTTTAATTTAAAATAATTTCACTATAGCATAAAGTGGAATAACATTTGTTGTATATACACTACAACAATCCTTACATCCAACCAGGTCTGTCACACATTGGTAAACATTAGAGACCAGACTGTTTTTCTCTTTCAGATGTTCATAGTCCTTTTTTTAAAATATGCTTATATTATTCAAAGCAGTTTTTGTAAAGATTTATTTTTATTTGTGCAACAAGAACTGGGATTTAGGACAGAGATGTGGGGGGTAAGAGGATTCACTAAAGACAG